TGTTATCTCAGATCCATAGCGTAAAAAAGAGATAATGACTGCATGTGTGGAGTGGTTAAATGAAGTTTCAAAAGCTGGTATAGTACCTCTTAAACTTTGAATGACATAGAGTAAAACAGCGAGGAATTTCTCTTGTCCTTTACCATGGAACAAGCACTATAATAAAATAAGCTTAATTCTAGTCCATTAAATATATGCATTGTTTTCCCAGCATGGCAATTTACACCTTGGCCATTGTTATAGTGTTATAGTCTATCTATTACTGGATGTCACAAGAGAAGATAGGCAGAAGACTGATTCCAGTTCCCCATCAGTAGTAGACTAACATAATAAATGTGATTGAATAAATTTATTTCTAGAGATGACAGTCTGAGTCATTGATTAATAATTTTAGGGTTTTAGATGAAACAGCTGGAAAGTATTTTCTCTGCTTTATCACTCATTTAAGAAAACTTGTTTTGATGGCCTGAAACATGACCTAACATTTTTAACAGTGTCATAAATCAAACTGGTTAGATATTTAGCTCCAATATAACTTGCTTTTCAAAGCTTATTGCGGCATTTTATAGGAACTCTGCAGAAATATGGATTAATAGAGTAACTAGAATACAGAGCTTTTAGTTGCAAAAAGGTTCAGGTTACTTCAATATCTAATGTAGTACATTAGGAGCCATGGGCTTGTCAGAGCACATCAGGGAACCTCTGAAAAGGATGCACAGTGGCATAATTTTCTGTGACAGTATATCCTTCTTAAGGCAGGTAGATAAACATATGCTTTCCAACTGTTGCACTATAATCATGAAAATGTGTGAAGGGAATGGAGAGAAGGAAGAAAAGTAACATGGTTCTTAATTTCTGTAAATTTTGAATGCTATTCCAGAAGGCAAGAAAAATCGTAATGCTGTTGAAAGGTATTTACATGACTAGTTAACCGTGGATTCCAGATAAATTAATGAATGGGAATACGAATATTATGAGTACAGTAGTATTCTGCAGCCACACTCATAAAAGGTTGACTTAAACCCCCTGGTCCGTGCAACTTATAACCAACAGGAAAAATGTGCAGGGGTCTCTTTGCCTGGTAATCACTATGTTCTTTAGTTCATTGAATATTTGTGCTTTTTTTTGGGTTTTGCTCTTGTTTAACCTTTTCCCTTCTTTGTCTTATCCAACATGTAATGGTTCTCTTATGCAGGAAATCAAGGAAAGAAAAACATTTTGCCAGACATACGTTGAGAACTTAGTGAAAGAAGCAGCTGACATCAATATGAAAAATGAGTCGTTGCAGAAGCTCTGGCCTCAAATGTTCATTGAGCTTGTCAGAGATGCAGTGATAGAAATACGCAATAAAAATTCCTACATGAAACACTGCTTACAGCGGATCATTGATCAAAACCAGTAGAGTCAAGGCATGTTGTCTTGCAAGCTTTTGGTTTCAGTATTCCATGATGTTTTACGAACTTAAACCAATATAAAGTTACCGTCGCTATGACCTACTTCACATCCCACCCCAAAGGGATGACTTTAAATCTTAATTAACTCTTGATAGTTGTGAAATAAAAGTTTACTTGCGTACTGCTTTAATGTTTCAACTTGGCTTAAGTAATGAGATGGCATAGAAGTAACTTGGTGATTGTCATGATTTACTGAATTCTCGCTTATTTTTTTCTGCTACCCTCGATTCTGTAGTACTACAGGATTTGCACTCTGCTTGCCTTATTTTTTACTGCACACTTTTCAGTTGTCATCTTTTCAAGTGTTTGCTGCTGTTTAAAAAACAACCAAGAATAATAGTAGCTGAATTTTTTATGTACAAAAGGTAATAAATTATTTTTACACCCTGACATTGATGAAGACCTTATTAATTGTTGTTTAATTTCTGATGTTCTAGAACACTTTTTCACATCGGTCTCATCACAGTGATTAGTGTATCAACATTTAATGAGCCTAATCCTCAACTGAACAAATTGCCCAAACTTGATTCCAGGTGTTTTTCATTAATTTCATTTGTATTACTTTGTGTCAATATTATAGGCAAAGCACAAGTTCAGGGTCTCCTCAAGCTTTATTTTTGTTCTGTTAAAACATGCTAATAATTTCTCTTGTTTCTTGCTTACTAAATGACTAGTTTTTGAGGTTTTCCAAGGTCAAAAATGTGTGCATTACATTTCATAAGGAAACTGATGACTACTGTTCAGCTGTAATTAATTTCTGTGAATGTGTGAAAATTTCGTATGTTATCAATAAAAATGAATTCTTCACTTTTGCCCTTCACAGATAAAGACGTACTTACAGGTGCAAAGAAAAGACACAACTTCCTTAGTGCTCCGTGAAGAGATGAGACACAACTTGTCCCCCAAATCAGCTGTGAATGGGTAGAAATAACACATTCCATAGTACAGTAACTTTCATTGTAAGCACCTTGTGAAGCTTCTGCCTAGAAATTGAATTTAGGAACTGTTAACAAGTCCAGATGATTCGCATGACTAGTGTTCATATGCAGGTAGAAAGTTGTGCTATTTAAACCTAATTTTATAGCTCTGTTGTATCTTAATTAAAACAATACAGGCAGTCAGTTCAAATTAATATCATTTTACTTAAGCTCATTTATAAAGAAGAAATTCAGAAAGTAGTTTATAACCAAGGATAACTTCCTGCTAAGGTTTCTATAGTTCAAAACTAAGTGGTTTGTTTATTTTTTTAAAACTTTACCTGGACAAGACTCTTGCAGAGCAGAGATGCAAATACAGTTTAGTAAGTTTCCATGCCCTGAAAATCACCTTGAATGAGTAGCATAAGTCAAGTGGTTATAGGTATTAAGGAGAATATATAGTCTGCTTGCATTTAGGTCTAGCTGGTCCATCTAAGTTTTCAGAGAGCATCATTTTCCAGAGTATGTTACAGGTTAACAATGGCATGCATACTGTTGTCAGTTTGAGTTATGTCATTCTTCTAAAGCATACTTGCTGGTAGTTGCTTTTCAGTCTTCACAGAATTTAATGGAGGTTAAGTCACGGAAATTCTAGGAAAATTTTAGAAGTCCTGAAGAAACTGCTCCAGCAGTTGACAGAACTTAATAAAGACAATCACCCCTCCAGGATTTCTGAACTGCTTTGTGGAATTTACAATAACATCAGGGTATTTGATAGGGTTTTTTTTACTTTCCATTGGAAGAATTGCGCTTCCAAGTTTTATGGGGTATTTTATTAAGGGAACAAATTAATACCCCACAAAATGTGAGAAAAGGAGAGTTTACGTTATAGAGACAGTATAGAAATGATCATGCAGGAGTTTTTTGGATCCGTCAGTTCCTTTACATCATTTCTGTGGAGAGGGTGTGGGTGGAGCAATCCCAGCTTCTGGATGGGGACAGAAACCTCAGCAGCTGTCTGAACGTGCAGAACTCTCCTGATGATGTAGCTGTAGCAGATGGGCCCCTTTTGACTCAGATTCAGCAGCAATAAAAGACTGGAAAAAACTGTTTTGAAAGGGTGGATTGGTCTAGAGGAACAGGAAGTTCTTCATGGCAAAATCTAGAGAAAAGCCAGATTTTCTGATACTGAGGCTTTAGAAGCATAATCCTGATTGGAAGCCTTTTAGCTAGGGTCTTGAAAAAACTAAGTGAAATGAATCAGAGGGTATTGACTGTGAGTTACAGAAACATCTCCTTAAAATCCTCTGTATTCCCAGTGGTCTGTGACTGCTGCCAGTTTGGACTTCTTTCACTAATAGCAGCTGTTTCATAGCAGGATTGCTAAATGGCTGAAGTGAGAGTAGCTAGGCAGCTATTAGAAAAGAAGAAAAGATTAACGTTGGGCTTCTTACATACTTTTCACATAAAACCAGCAGGAAATAAGTGAATGATGGACTAAAGTGATGTTACATCTGAGAGCAGGTAGAATTTTAACCAGCTAGGTGACCTTAAAATCGTTAGTGTGCTATATGTTACGTGTTCTTCAACATTTATCAGTTCATACAGACTTGTGGGTTGTGTGGTTGTAATTGTTTATTAAGGATTTTCTGTGTCTCTAGAAATTTGATGGTGGTATAAGCATCAAATGCTTAGATGTTCTGAAACTTAAGTAGTACATCTGTAAATTCTCTGTGGTTGCACAGATAAATTGAGTTAAAACAGCCATTGATTTTGAAGCTAGGCATCTCTTAATAAAACCTTCCAGGCTGAAAGCAGTTACATTTTTCTGCTTCCAAAGCTGCATAAACCTGAATTTTGATATTTGTTAGTATTTCATTGGTGTCCCATCCAAAATGGATTGTTGTGATCTCACGTAGTCTTTCTGCACAGGACAAGAGCTATTACTGTGAAAATTCTGTATGTTAAGTAGAAATCATCTTAAGGGTTAAAAATACATTGGTTTGACCTTTAAGTCTCTTGAAAACTTTTTTCCATTGATCTTTTGATTATTTATACAAATTCCTTACTTTCTGAGACAAATTTCCTCTATGTCCAGATAAGGGCAGATAATGATGTCTCTCTGTTTTCAGTTTCAGTTTAGCTGTATCATGCATGAAGGCCCCATTATGTCATGTAGAGTCATTGTTTATTATGCAACTGAAATTTGATCTTCAGTAAGGAGACTAATGAAAAGCTGTATTTCATACACTCCTTTTGATACAGGATCTGAAAAAGTAATAAGCTTCAGATACGCCGCCACAGTGGAATAAAGGGAGAAGTGATTCACTTGATGCAAACCAAAAGCTAATCTTGTCAGTTTTGAGGAAGAAAGGGTACTTGGAAAAAGTTTTAACTGAGCATTAAAAGTAAGTAAAACTGCTCTGCTGCCTGAGACCAAGTGTTAGATCTGAATCTGGAAATAGCTGATATAGATCAGTGATTTCAAAGTTAAATATCTTGTTCCACTGCTACAAATGGTCATATTTTTCATATGGAATATGTTTAATAATAATAATATTAACAACAATAATAATAATATGTTAGCCTATTAAAACACTTGTCATCTGCAGATTAAGCGTTGGGCAAACATGTATACCTTCTGCAAATTCAAGAAAAGTGACTACTTTTACAGCCTGCAACTGATAAAAAAAAAGTGACAAACACTGATTCTTTCAGCTGTTACTTTTTAACATAGTGGCATATCAGGATGAAATGCTTTTTGTTAGTTTATTTAAAGAAGCTGAGGCAAATGCTTTCTGGTTTATATCATTAAGCAACATTCACAAAGATGTGATTTAGTTTGGGAGGTCAGTGTACGTATTCAAAAGCACAATAACAGCTTTTTGTTTTGATTGGGAAAACAGACTACTTGAATATGTTTTCTGTTCCCACATCATACAAACTCTGCTACATCTTGAAGTCGACTTTGAAATTATTTTTCTCTTTAGTTTTAAGTTGGAGGCATCGGTCTTTTGGGAATTTTTAAGACTTGGTGTTCTGTTACACACATGTAGGCCAAGGATGGGGAAAAGAGACCACTAGCTATCACTTTGCTCTGTGGTGTGATGAAGTTGCTTTTACTCAGAATAGGAACTGTTTGATTTTTGCATACTAAAAAGTAGGGAGTGTAGGCTACACAGAACTTTAAGCAATCTTTCAAAAGGCTGATTGGTATCTGCTTAAACATGTCAGAGATGGATTTTCTCTGAGCATGAGCTAGAAGACATTGAATCTAAGGGAGTGTTAATACATCCCAAGTATCTAGTTTCATTGGCTAGCTTTACTAGACTGCTCTCAGGGGGAGAAAGATAAGCTCATCTGGAGGAACTGTTGTCTCTTTACTGTGGTGAAAACAGCATTTCTCTACAAGCTGTGTGTTGGACCTCATTGCCGTACTTGTGTACAGCTGTGGTGGACAGATGCTTCTGCTTATTGTATCAAATCTCAAGAAAGCCTAGTGAAGAGTCAAGAAGTCTTAATGGGGGAAAAACGGACTCTTATCCAGTTCAGAGCTGTTTGGTTTGGTAGGGGTTTTTTCAGTTATAGATAGATGTGCTGCAAGCAGAGACATACTTCACTGGTAAAAGAACATTGAGTTGAAAAAAAAAGCAGAAAGCTGCAGGTTACAATACTTATACCAAATCCAGCATTAGAAGTATCCAGCATCCCCAGGAAGTATCCTTGTACAAGACAACTCTATATTCCTTATTACTGACTAAGCTGACTTGAGTTGGTTCTTACATGTAACTGTTTTATCCAGCTTTTTGGAAAAACAGTTCAGGCTTCTTGATTGCTCTGGTCTGTGATTGTTTGGTACAGTGTAAAGTAATGTCATCAAGACAGCAGGATCAGATTTTTTGATGCTGTAATCTGTTGGTTAACAGGATGACAATGCTTAATTCTGCCTTCTGTTGCAGTTTTCCTAATTAGGCAGCTACTTCCATATTAAGGATAATCTTCTGTGTGATCTTTGTTCTTATTCTGTAGTGCATGGCATCTACTATATTGCTACACACATAACTAGATTGATTCTATTTTCAGACAAAGTTATGCCTTTCACTTTTGTTTGACTAATATGGATATCCCAGAGGTTAAATGCTGCTATTACATTTTACACCTAAGAAATCCAGAACTTTATGTGAACACTAAGCAGATCATAAACAACCTCATTCTTTCTGGAATACTAGACACGAATGACACAAACAGCACTCAGCGCTAACTTTTTCAAAGCAGTGAGAATGATACCTTTCAAGAATCCAGGTAAGAAAAGCCTTTCTGGAAGGTAGTATTGAGCACTTGACACTTAAGCACAGGAGAAGATATCCTGGAATGACATAAGGTTTCCTTGTGCTTAAAATATATTATTAGACAAGAGATGTAAAGTTAATTCAGACTACAGTGGTGAAGAAATTGTGCCTGTGAACGTGATGTTTGTATTACATGCTCATAGTCTCAACATCTTAGTTATGCAAGTAACAGTGGTATTGCATTAGCAATTCACATTCAATGAAAGAAATCCAAGTGACATATATAGAAGCTGTTACTTTACACTGGTAAAAATTGTTGAGTTCGTTGATCAGCTATTATATTGCACTTAGAAATTATATTGTGAGACAGTATGTGCTGTGGTTTGTGCTTTATATGGGTATGTAGCACACTTGCTGCTTATTTGGATTATGCTTCAATGATCTATGTTTTCTAATAAAGAAATAATGCTGAAGAATGATGAAAGAAACCAAGAAGACAGAGTACAGCTTTCTTTCACTTTCTAATTTGGCACTGACAAGAGAATATATTGTCTGGCAGTGTGCACCTGCAGCGCAGAAAGCCAACTGTATCCTGGGAGGCATCAAAAGAGGCATGCCCAGCAGGTCAACCAGAGAGGTGATCCTGCCTCTTTACTCTGCTCTTGTGAGACCTCACTTGGAATATTGTGTACAGTTCTGGTGTCCTCAACAGAAAAAGGACATGGAGCTGTTGGAGCAAGACCAGAGGAGGGCCATGAGTATGATAAGGGTGCTGGAGACAGGCTAAGAAAATTGGGGCTGTTCAGTCTGGAAAAGAGAAAGCTGTGTGGAGATGTAACAGCCTTCCAGTATCTGAAGGAGGCCTGCAAGAATGCTGGAGAGGTACTCTTCATTAGGGACTGTAGTGACAGGACAAGGGGGAAATGATTTAAACTTTAACAAGGGAAGTTTAGGTTAGATAAAAGGAAAAAAGTTATTTACTGAGAGAGTGGTGAGGCACTGGAATGGGTTGCTCAAGGATGTTGTGAATGCTCCATCTCTGGCGGTGTTAAAGGCCAGGCTTGATGAAGTCTTTACGTTGTTTAGTGTGTGGTGTCCCTGCCCATGGCAGGGGTGTTGGAACTAGATGATCTTAAAGTCCTTTCCAACCCTAACAGTTCTGTGATTCTATGAGCATTTATTACAGTACTTTGCATTCTTCTGGAGACTGCATGAAAACATATGGAAGCTGGAATGTGTAAAACCATGGTAAAAGACATAATCACTCCCTTAAAGAAATGAGCATGAAAACCTCTTTCTGATGCTGTGGCAGTTACTTGTGTTGTTTTATTCTTTTGGGTTTGTTCGTCTTTTAAATGACCAGCTAGCGAACACTCTAATGCTTTCATGTCAATGCAGTAAACAGCCAAGAGGCTATATTAGAATTTTCAGCATATCTTTAGAGGTTTTGTTTTGTTTGTCTTCAGTATTTATCTAATTGACAGCCGTATAAGCAGAAACATTATGTTGTATGTTCAACAGTTGTAACAATGCTGCTTGCTTTATTACAGTTGAGGTCTTAATTGTCCTGAGGATCTGTGTCTGGATTAAGAAGTAATCAGCAAAGCTGATTTTTTTTTTTTTCTCTTGCCTTTTAAAGCTGGATACCCTGTCATTCTTTCAGTCATGAATAAATGTGGGAGTCTGTAGCCAATGATATTTTTCTATGTGAATTGCCAACACTTCCAGATGTAACTATAGATACTGAGCTCTATGTATTGTGTATTACCATTATTCAGCAAAATACATGCTGCATACAAAGTACATGCTTACTTCTAATCACACACTTGAATATTTCCATTATTCAGGATTTTTAGGACTTATTATAGCCAAAAATATCTTTTAGTATTTTTGCTTGAAGCAGTCCATAAAAGGTTAAAGGCAACATATTAGTTAAGCATGTTTATTACGTTAAGTCTTTGGTTCAAGTCCTGTTTTATTTTAAAGCCTATTATTGTAGATTTAACTGGACATAATATCTTATTGAAGACAAATATTGATATAGTAGGATTATTCCAAGTATTATGAGCATTTAAAGGCATTCTTATTGATCAGTTATTTTCATTTATTAATGTAAAGTATGAACAGTTCTTAACATGAGTAATTTAATTTACTGCAATAATGAATGTCACCTCAGCATACTGTTCAATATTTGATGATGGAATGCAAAGTAAATTGCTTTGCAAGGAGAGTTTTAGCCATTTGTAGACATCTGAAATTGCAAGTATGGGGAAACAAAGGTGTAACTAAAAATGGAAATGGAGAGCTTGTTTCATGAAACTGTAGACACTGGGGTTTGATTTGGTTTTCTTAATTAAGAAGTGAGTGATGTAGGTCTCTACCGCTTTTCATCACCCCACCCTGCCAAAGTAACTTACTGTCAACTGTACTTTCAAGATGCTGTAGAACCAAGTCTAAACTTTATTAATTTTTTTATAGGTTGAGTTGCTAAATAGGTAACTGTTCTCCTGATCCACAAGGATTGTTTACAAAGCCTTATTTATGCTGCTTTATTTGAGTGTTATTAGATGTCTCCTCTGCAGATGTAATAAGGCAAGATTTAAATGCAAGTCGACATGTTGCTGAAAATTCTAAAATGTATTTGCATTGATTTATGCTCTGCATTAGGATGCATAATCAAAAAAGGAAAATTTAAACTAGGTAACGTATGTGAGTGAAAACCATGATGCTGTTGAAGTTGTTGTAAGATTCCCAGTGATTTGAGTGACTGGGATTTCACACGTGGGCTGTCTGCAAGGTGAGAATTACCCTGACCAATCCTCTTTTTTTTTTGTATCTGTGGTGATGACATCAGTGCCTCAGCTGGTTATTTAGATTCTATGCTGCTTAGAGGAAAACAGACACTACTACAGTCTGAAACATCTGATTTGTTTTAGATCTTTTCAGTGCCGTGGAATTGCTTTTTCATTTGTTTCCTCCCCTGTTTGGACAGTCTAGGCAGTCATCCAGATACTAATGTCTGCAAGTCTGAAATTGTATGGACAAGTTCCATCCTTCCCTCCTGTTGGCTGCTTCCCTCTCATGCAATTAAACCCAATGTTTTCTTCCATGCCACTCAGTAACCATGGAAGTAGCCCACTCCATGATGAACAAACATGCTCATTACTTGGATTTGGGGTAAGTTTGAGTGTCCTAGATTTCCAAAATGAGATGCATACCCCAAGTGATGCAAGACTTCAGTGAAATCTAGATCGGTAGGTGCTTTTGTCACATTTGAAAAGACCTTGAGGTCTGACTCACAGGTTCTCTCTTATTTTGAATACATGTATTGCTAAAGGGAATGTGGCATGGTCGTGTGGATAGAGTGGGAGACTGAATTAGGGTAGACATTGTTAGGCAATAGATAACTGCATCTTCACTCAGATCATTATGCTAGTATATGCATGTTAGTAGTAAACAACTGTTGCAAAATATGTCCAGTGTGCTTGGTGACAAGGTAGAAATACGTGTGTTATTTTTGTTATTTAGATGTAAGTTTATGTGAGTTCAGTTAGGCATAGCCATTTCTGGTGGTGAGCTGACAGGTTGCAAGGTAGCTGCTGTCTCATGTACAGTGACTATGATGTTCTGGGCAACTACAAAAAGAGGAGGTAATCTGCAGATAGTGTTTGTGTGAACAGATTTTTCATATATTCTGTAGATTCCTGTTCACTGTGTTTTCAGTTTTATTTAAAAGTGCTTTGCATCTTTAAAGAAAAAGTGAGTTACACTGGCTAAAAATTACTTCAGAGATGCTAAGGACTCTTTAACTTTGTTGTTGCCATTTTTTAAATTGCATGAATCTTAATCTCATTGCTGGTTAGAGAAGAAACCAAAAAAGAAACCACAGGTGATATGAGAAAGTGGGCTTGGTTACTTGCTCTTTCTGCTTTGTTGGTACTTAACTGTTGTCCTTGCTTGATGATGCTAGCTGTAGGCTCACTCTCAGAGGTTAACTAGAGGCTGTGTCAGGAAAGTATACTAATAGCTGTAGGTGTGCTCAGGACAGTTTCCAAATTCAATCAACATATGTTGCCCATTTAAGGTGAGTCATGTCTTCCATGAATATCTCACTGCAACAATCTTTGTCACTTTGCTGGCACAAACTAGCATTTCAGTAATACATATCTTGATATGTGATTTATGAATGTGTTTGAGGTCTTTCAGCATGACATATTAGTGTCAATTGTAAAGATTCTCATATTGAAGAATATTTAGTTTAAGACATCTGTGCAGCT